ATCGAACCTCAATCCTCGAATAAGGACAATTGGACAAATAATAGATTGCTTGCCTAACTAAAAAGATAACGAAACTATGGTTCACATTTGGAACCCCTTTTTTTTTTATATGTACACATTGTAATGGTTATAATAATAAAATAATATAAATAAAAAAAAAAAACCTACTCGTAATAAAATGTCCCAATCATCAGATAAATAAAAGAGCTGAAAAAAAAAATTGCATTATTTTGATATTTTCCTACAAATGTAGTACTCGTATTCTTGTTGATGGAGACGATTTAGTAGAGATAGATTGAATGAATCCAACACAAGTTTCAGAGATGCTCTTTGCCATTCGTGCTCACTGCTCAGCTTTAGGTACAAGAGTTTTGTCACCACACACATTTTACTCGGGGGAATTATTGTTTTATCACACACTACTCTGTGTACAAGTACAACTGCACAAGGTTTCCTAATTTATTTTTTTTGTTTGGGGCAGAACGACCAGCGCAAATGGTGTAGACAAGTCTTGATGACCACCCTTCAAAACTTTAATTAACTAAACTAGTTTATTATCCACTATAACGTACCCTAGTTGAATAGTTTAAATTCGTAGTAATTTTTGATCTTAACAAATAAAAAAACCTACATTTGTAGATATATGCTTTGAAGTATATTTGATACGATCGAGTTTAATATTTGGTCGGCTGAAAATGATTATTAAGTAAAATATTAAACTGCATACATGTCAATCAATTAATGTTTTAGGAATACTCAATGGAACATACTTTTAAGATAGGATGGAAGAACTCTTGGCTTATGAAAATTACGAGTATTATTATTATAACAAGATGTTAAAACTTTGAATTGGATCTATGTAAAGAAGAAGATAATTTGTTTCTAATGTGACGTAAATTTGATTCAATTATAAGCTACCACAAAAAATTAGATTCAACTAAATAACCCAGAGTACATAAAAAAAAAAAAAAAAAAAAAAAAAAAAAAAAAAAAAAAAATCGATTGTGAAGCATTATTGAATTCAACAAAAATGGTTTACAATACGTACGTACTTATTTAGGGATTTAGTGTAGTTGCGTACTTGCATTTTATGAACAAGGGCTACTTTGGTTTTAAAAAAATAGGGTCATTTTTATGACAAAAATCCAACTAAAATTTACGAGAACTCACGGTAATTAAGATAGATATAAGTAATTGGATATTTTATATAAGTTTTTAAACATCTCAACTTTTGAAATTTAAATACTAGTATAATTTTTTGGACACTTTACATAAACTTTTGAAAAGTATATTTGTTATTGCATTGGACATATTAGTTTTTGAAATTATATGTATTAGATGGGTAGACTCGAGGTGAAAATACTTTGTGAAATTGTATAGGTTTTCTTAGAAGTCGGCTCTTTAAGTTGTAGGTTTGGTCCAAGGTCATAGTCCCCTCTAGGCACGATAAAAACCTGAAGAAATTAACTCATGCATAATATACAACACTGAATATGACCCTAACTCTCAAATATTGCAGGTTGTATTACAATTCAAGCAAGTAAATGAGCAAAGGTCACAATCTGATTGTTATTTCTCAAGTCATCGTCGGACTATTTTAGAAATTATAGATTCATGGATATAGAAAAGAAATTAATTGGTTAAATATATATGGATTAATTAACCAATCAATTTCATCACTAGCGTAAATTGTATAAAACGCTTAAAAAATGAAATATTGAGAATAAAGTAACATTAATTACACCAATCTGTGCGTGATTTTGTCATGAATTTCCAACTTAATTCCATTTTAAAAAGTATATTTAATGCTTATATATCGCCCTAAGGGCTATATATCATTACCCATGTTTCAAATTAAACCTTTTTCCTTTTTAAATCAGAGATTTACAACTCATTCTCAACTGTCTATAACTTCCTAGCAATAAATAGTAGACTTAGTAGTATTATCATAATCTATAAATTCCATGTGCATGCATATATGTTAATAAAATAAAACCTACAAAAGCTAGGGGACAATCAATTAGGTGATAAAGAGAGTTATGTAAATTCCTAGTTTAGTTTAAGCCGATTAAATGGGAAGACCTACGTATATAAATAGCATTTACAAAGATGACAGAACTATATAAGGCAATTCGATTATTCTATAGTACGGCCATTTTTTTTTTCTTTTGAAAGCCAATAGTACCGCCTTTTAATTGAATGACAATGCCAAACAAGGGGTGTTGCTATGTGTTTCATGTGATACAATAACGTAATTATACATTGATTTATAGTACTTTCTCCATTTTAAAATATTGCAACAGGGTGGAAACAAAATAATTATTAAAGTTTTTCTTAAACTAAATATTACAATGTCAATAAAACTTTTTTAAGATATAAACATTAAATTTTTTGAAAAGGGAGGATGTTTATTACCTTTCTTTAATATCGTGAATTTCAAACTTATTAGGATAACACGTCTAACACCGTAAATTTGTTTAGGCAGGCAATGTGGTAGCTACCAAATGCATGCATAAAGTGTCTGTTTGACTAACTAATAAAAGTGGCCATTCTTAATTTTCTCCATCTCCATTTCCATTTACTTAGCTTTTACCGTATTGATATACATAACTAATCAATAGAATTACAAATCAACAGAGTTACAAACTAGGATTAAAGCTCAGTACCTTATTGCATTGAGCTTCGTTTGCTCGTACAATTCAACAAGAGAAAAATTAAACAAATTAAATTTAAAATCTTTGTCTTCAAGAGTTCTTGGCAGAATTATTGCATAAACACTTAATCACCCTTCACATTTGCGTTGCATTGTATAGTGATTACTGATTAGTGATGCAAGTAGTTTATGCCAAAAGTTAAGAATATTCATTTTGAGGATGAAAATAGTAATTGAATATTCCTCATTTTTAGAAAAAACAAAATTTATCTCTCACAACTATATCTAGTCAACAACTATTTTATCGTAAATCAACTAACAACACAAGACCCTTCTATTTTCAAAAGCAGTTTGTTACGAGTATTTATTTCTATATCTGCACTCCGTTATAACAATGGAATAATTGATTACGAATAATTTATCGTACAGTCAATAGCTAACAGCTACAACCTCAGCAGCATTTGTCAAACTAAGGCCAATATCATGGAAACTAAAATTAATTGAGAGGTCAACTCAAAAAGCTAGATCATATTCTTGAAGTAGTAGAATAAAAATGAAAGGTCGGCGGTCCAAAAAGAGCTCCCAAAAAAAGCAACAGAAAAGCTCAGAATGAGCTGGTTAGAGAGGTTGGTTGGTACCTAGGAATTGGAGAGTTTTATGTCCTCTTCTACTATTGTACTGCTCCCTATCTAGTCCCTACATACCATGTCTTTCTTACCTCCATGCATTATTCATCACTGCATTTTCAACACCATTTTGGGTAGATAGCCGGCATAGCCCCAAGGAAATGATATCATTTTTATTTTATTTTTGTATAAATGATGTGCGAAAATTCTTTGGATGTAGATTAGCTTAGCTGACTAAATCATTTCAAGGGCGTGATGTGTTAAATATTGATATCCAATAAGAAAGTACGAGTGAATGAGATTGAATTCTGTTTACTTAACTACGCACTTTTAAAACCTTAGCAATTTAATGTTTTTATTAACTGACATTTAGCATATTAAATATTGTATTATGATTAACAAGACATATGGTACTAGATTTTGTAAAATGCTAACACATATGTTTTTTTAACGAACCATGGATAGTCATAAGTTTTAAGTTATCGTAATTAATTTGTTTGTGCAGCTATAGTAAATGCTTATGATGAGACTGTCATGCCCAAATCCTACAAGTAGAAGATTTACAACCTACTATATATGTGCTCTATAAGTCTATAACGCCTACAAGTGGACATCAATCTAAACATACTTTGATTCTTTGAACAATAAAGAGAAACTTTACCACAAGTCTTACCAAAATTGAAAAATGAGTGTGGACTTGTTTAGTAATCTAAATCAAAAGTTATGCATAAAATGATGAAGTCCACAATATTAAAAAGCACAAGTCTAAGGCTGCTACAAGAAAAAACAATTACTCCATCCGTATCTTCTAATTGAGGCATAAAAGTCACCAAATATAAAACAATTACTCCATATACTCGACTATTGTTATCTCATATTCTAGAGGTTGATTCTCCTACTATTATGCTAGTTCTTTATTTATTAAATACAACTATTCGATCTTTAAGAGAGCGATCCAAATTTAATATTTAAACTCTCCTAGATAAAAACCAAAAAGAAAAGAGTTTTCAATCACCGCCTTCCCAACTGTTCATTTATGAACATTACTTCTACTATACTACCAAACCTCAATTTTTTTTTTGCTATCATCAAAACTTTACCATTATCCACTGAAACTTCCTTCTGCTTAACGCTGACCTTGAAAAGCCAACTCTTTTCTTTGATTTTTATTTTTATAATCTTAAATATAAGAAACTAAAAGGGAACCAAGGGACCGAATGAACCTTCATTGACTCTTCCCTTCCTATTTCCTTTTTACATTAATATAATAATAATCTTTATAGTTTTTGCTGTCAAATATAAAACCTTCATACTTGTATATAAAAATTTGAAAGAAAGAGTTTGATATATGCAATCCCAAGGAATGGTTATCAATTATAATAATTATACTAGTATTATTTACAATTTTATCTTTCTATTTTATTAATGTTTATAAATTGTTTAATATTTTTACTTTCAACTTTTGTATAGTCGGAGTTTAGAGGAAACAATCATAGTTATAATTTCAAAAAATTAATTATCAGACATGATTTTAAAACATAACCGGGACATTTTATATTTTTTTGATTCGTGTTAATATAAATTACAAGAGGACTTACTCTTTTTTTCATCTCAGTTAATTATGCTATTTGACCTTGAAAAAAAATCACAAAAAATGATTAAAATATAACAATTAATTTAGGACAAAGCGAGTATAATCTATCTTAAAATAAGCTTATTTCAAGTGGGATGTGGAGCCCATAGTTGGTCCTATGCTTTGCTGGCTTGAAGCTCTCCATTGTTGATTTTTAATGGGGTCTGTCTGCTAAGAAGACCCCTCCAACCCAACCCCAACTCCCCTTCAAAAAAAGAAAACTAAAACAAAATTCAATTCAATTCACCTCTTTTCTGGAAATGCTGATACCTCATTTTCATTCTCTTCTTCAGTCTCATCACTTTCTTCCAACTACTCATACCAAACAAAGCTCAATTTATTAAAAAAAAAGTACCCAAAAAATAAAAATACAATCTTTCTGCAATTTTTACTGGTTTTGATTTTGATGTATCTTTAGATCTGAAAGTATTTGCAGCCACAAGTAGTATTTGTTTGTTTTTCTCTTTTTTCTGGATCTTTGCTCAGCTTCTGGGTACCCCAACAAAGAGTGGGAGTCCCCCAATTATAAGGTCAGTTTTTATTAATTTGTTTTAAATCTTGGGTTTGATTTTTTTTTTTTTAATTTTTAATTTTTTTTTTTTAATTGATGATTTGTTGGTTGATAGTAATTGAAGTGTTTGTGACTTTGTGGGGTTGAGTTAAAATTTGGAATTATGTCATCTTTGTCTTTAATTTCTTCTTTGTGAAACTTCCTTTGTTGTGGGTTTATCTATGATATATAGCTTCAAAGCACTATTTGTGGCCTAAAAATTTGGAGAGAGAAAAAGTTGGAGTTTATTACCTCTTTGCAACTGTTCTTATTGAAATTGATTAATTTTCTGTTTATCTTTCGTGATAGAAACTTTGTTGATATGTTGATTATTATGTTTCAGGGAGAATTATAACTGGGTTTCGGAGCTCGAATCAAATAAAATCAAATCAAATTGAAAATTTGAGACTAAATTAGACTGGAATATGATCTGTTAGACATATTGATCAATATATATGTCAATATTGTAGAATTTAGGGTGTGTTTCGATTTTATGGTGTTGTAGACTAGACTTGTAGGGGTGATTTGCGTATTGTAAGAAGGGTGGAGTTGCAATTTTTAGGTGGAAAAAAGGGAGGGTGTAATATTGTTGGGTGAAAAAGTTGTTTATAAGTGTCCCATATGAAATGTGGGGAATTAGGAGGGTGGTTTGGTTGAGATGAGGTATGCTATCAGGGTTCATGAATTTTCTGAGGGCCTGTTTGTGGCCAGTTTCGGATCCTTCAATCCACGCGGGTTCGGATTCGATTGGGCGTCAAGAAGGGTTACTATGGTACAAGGACACTGGGCAGCATGTTAATGGTGATTTCTCAATGGCTGTTGTGCAAGCCAATAGTTTGCTTGAGGATCAAAGTCAACTTGAATCAGGCAGCTTGAGCACACTTGATTCTGGTCCCTTTGGTACTTTTGTGGGCGTCTATGATGGGCATGGTGGCCCGGAGACTTCGCGTTATATCAATGATCACCTCTTTCGTCATCTCCGCAGTAAGTTTCTTCAAACTGCTTTCAAATTGGAACAACAATTCTGTGCTTCTTGTTTGGTTTGTGGAATTAAAATGAAGTAATGAGTGAATGGAAGAATTAATTTGTTCCTTATGTTTTTGTACGGACATGGGGATCAATTGGTGTACTCTCTTTATTCCAATAACTATTACCCACTGCTAATCTTGTTGAAAGTTCCTCTAAGTTTGGATAAGATAGGTTCTTTTGGAAGTTATGAATTTCACTTTATCAAATTACTTGACTCCAAAGTCCATCCTCTGTCAGATTTCCTCTAAATTAAATTTTTGTTTCTTTTGTTGTTTTCTTTGAGACTGCATGTATGTATAAAATTTTCCATTACGTCTTGTTAAAAGAACAGGAAACCAAAGAAATTGTCAATTCTTGTGAAAGATCCTGTTGTTTGTATGCAATGGGCTATGAATTTTGAGTTTGGGGATTAAGTTCACCAGAGTAAATTATATCAATTATTTTGCAGGATTTGCTACTGAACACCAGTGCATATCTGCTGATGTAATTCGGAAGGCATTTCAAGCAACAGAAGAAGGATTTTTATCTGTTGTTACTAGGCAATGGCCAATGAAACCCCAAATCGCAGCTGTTGGATCATGCTGCTTAGTAGGAGTGATATGTAATGGGACTCTTTATATCGCAAATCTTGGTGATTCTCGAGCTGTATTGGGGAGACTTGTCAAGGCAACAGGAGAAGTTCTTGCAGTCCAGCTCTCAACAGAGCACAATGCATGTTTAGAGGCTGTGAGACAGGAGCTGCGGTCAATGCATCCTGATGATTCACATATTGTCGTGTTAAAGCATAATGTTTGGCGTGTAAAGGGCCTTATACAGGTATAATTTGTGTCCAGAATTGCTGTTACTTGCATCGTATTGGTTATTGTCCTACTTCAATTCGAATAACTTCCTGTTGTCAATTATCCTCACTTTCAAGTAAGCTAAACCATGAAATCACTAGACTGCGTTGAAAATCCTGTTTATGCAACCAGTGGAAGGAGTAGCTGATAAGTTACTTGATATGGGAGTGTGAATGGGGTCTAATTATAATTTAGTTTAGTTTGATAGCTATGTGCAGTGGATAGTCATCTTGTAGCTTCTTCAGTTGTCTCTTAAAGGAGTATTGATCTCTTCAAGTTTTCCTTATCTCATTTTTGCTCCTGCTGCTTGCATTAGATTGTCATTAGGATGTAAAAAGAATTAACTACTGCTCTGAAACTGAGGACCAATCCAATGTTTTTGTGATTTCTATCTTGCTAAATTTTCACTAGTGTCTGGATAAAATCTTATGTCTGTTTGTGATGTAGTTTCTTCCGGTAAGCTCAATCCCATAAGATAATTCTGAACTGTACTGTCAATTTCAATGTCAGCCCAACTTTGTTTCCATTGTCCTGTATTGTATCCTTCATTAATCGCTCTGTCCCACATAATTGTCTGGTTTTTGCTTTCTATGAATGCGAATTGTAATTAACTAATATTGGAGATTTAACCAATTAGGCTATGGCATAATGGATTAATGGTTATGGGGAAAAAATTGATTTGGCAAACTGGCATTCTTTTACTAAAGAGGACAACAGTTTCGGACTAACTAAACTAAAAATCGTTCTTCGTATAATAGTTCTGGGACTGAGGGAAACTGTTTAGGCATACTACTGAATGAATATTTCTCTACTCATAACCATTTATGGTGGGTTGGCGGTTGCTGTTATTAGAAAGTACTTCTATTAGTAATTGATCTAATGTAATATAGGCTGTGTTGTAATATAGTGTGGTTGATAATGCTCGAAATTTATATAGGTAGATTCACTCCCCTTTTCATGTAATTAACCCAACTGTAAGAATTTTGCAAGATTATGGGGAACTAAATGGGCCCTACAATAGAAAGCTACTTCTTGACTTCTCATTGATTCAAAATTGTGTGTGAAAGTGGTTGTAGACCCCATCAGTTAGACCAACTTTTGGATAGCAAGATATATCTCTTGTGATGTTGCAGGCTTGCAGCTTTCGGATACAACCCTGAACTAGTGATATAGTGATATTAAGTTTTAGGATTTTAGCTGCTTCAATTGAAAGAAAATGTTGGGTTTGTATCTTGCTTTAGCATATGAAGTGATGGATTGTATTAACTTCTATGCTGCTTCACTGCAGTAAATGTGATTTTTTTTTTTATTATTTTTATTATTATTTTTTTTTTCAACATATATATGTAAATTGAGGATTGATATACGGTGCAAGTTTATTCTTCTCGAAATATTGAATTTCATGGTCAAATACATAGAGACTAGAGTCACAATACGACAGACTTTGGAATAATTACTGCACTTGAGTTTTGGCTGCAATTTGGATGTACCTTATGGATAGGCTACAATATAGGTTTTCCTCTGGCATTTACATTCATATTGGCTCTACGAGTTTATACCTTTTCCTACGGTAGAAATTAAAAAGTTTCTGTCTTTAAGTTGTATATGACATGGAATTATGAGCATTATGTCATCCTTTTACACTGGACCCCGATACCAGAAAACTTCCAAAAGTTAGGGCAAACTGTGGATTCCATTTTGAAGTGCATTATGCATTTTGGCAAGCACTAAGCCACAAAATGTTTTTTCCCGTGGATTTTGTTTTGTAAATGGTGTTTAGTAGTTTTGGCTGTTCAAAAGATCTGCTTTTGAATTTACTGTATCAATGTTTTAGTGGATCTTGTGAAGCTGGATTTATATCAACTTAAGATGAGTGAGGGTTGATAGATTTGTTATTTTGTAATTTGTTCAATGCATCCATTTCATGTTTTATCCCTATGGCAAAAAAAATGTGCTTAACATTTATGAGTTTCTCAACTGCAGGTTTCTAGATCTATTGGAGATGTATATCTTAAGAAGGCTGAGTTCAATAGAGAACCTCTATTTGCCAAATTCCGACTCAGAGAACCTATCAAAAGACCGATATTGAGCGCAGACCCATCAATTATAGCTCATGAGCTGCAGCCACATGATCAATTTGTAATATTTGCTTCTGATGGATTGTGGGAGCACCTTAGCAATCAACAAGCTGTTGATATTGTCCAAAATAATCCACGTAATGTAAGATTTAAGTAGTACTGATCAGTAGCTTTTATTCTGCTACGTGGCATATTTAGTAGATCTGGAATATCCTCTTTTGCAATGTTAAACTTAATATATTAGTCAAAATTTGAAATGTTCTTTCTTTCTTTCTTTCTTTTTTTTTCTTTTTTTTTTTTTTCTTTCTTTCTTTCTTTTTTTTTTTTTTTCAAATTCTAGTTTGATTTTATGCTTCTGCGCCTTGAGAAATGTCTAATATGTAGATTTGCTAAGTACTCTGTAGTCTGTTATAAGTAGCTGTCTAAGCACAGCTTTACCTTTTATGAGGTCAGTTATATGTGCTTCTGTTGTTGAGCTGTGCATCTGTCACTGAATTCTTCTCCCGCTCCTTAATGTTTTTCACAATCTCTTGATTGGATGTCTCAAAATGCCTTCACATCTTTTGTTTGGGTAAAAAAAAAACACCTATTCATGCACAATAATGTGGAGGAAAGATAAATGTGTCTTGGTTCTTGTTTCCTTTGTCTTCGGTTTATCCATAGTTTCAAATTTTCAATATATCATAGTATTGTTATTTGTATTAAAACTGTTTTCTTTGTCTTTCTACGACATGCATATCTAATCTATTACCTTATGTTTTAGCAGGGAAGTGCTAAGAGACTGGTTAAAACTGCACTTCAAGAAGCGGCTAAGAAGCGAGAAATGAGATATTCGGACCTGAAGAAAATTGACCGTGGGGTTCGCCGTCATTTCCATGATGACATCACTGTGGTTGTGGTGTTCCTCGACTCAAATCTTGTGAGTCGGGCTACGAGTGGATCTAAGGGTCCACAAGTATCAATTAGAGGAGGTGGGATTACCCTGCCTTCGAATACTCTAGCACCCTCGTAGATGCTCACTTGTCATGCTAAATGGCTTTCAGAAAATCAGGTGCGTTTTTGAAGAAGGGGAGAGGCAAAAGGAGAGGGTACTATAACGTGTTCTCATGATTTATGCCGTAGCTACTTTTAACTTGGAACTGACAGTGGATTTTAAAGGTCTGTCGTGGAATCGAGAACAGTGTTATATGGAAATCAGAATACCTCAGGTGATGGTTATGGTAGTTAAATTCCTCATATTGACTAGTATCTTTTGTTACGAGGATTTTCCACTTTTACCCTATCTATTTGTTTAATTCTATTGTTTTACTTAATATATCCGAAGGGTGCTTTTAGGCCCATTGTATAAAAAGAAAGGGAAAGAAAAAGGGGCCATTTTGGCTATACTCTTCAGTCTGAACTTCTTAAGAAACTTTTAGCTAAGATGCTAACTGAAAGGGGCTTTAAGCTTCTTCAGCCTAGCACGAATTTGTGATTTCGCCTCCTTTGGTTCAGATTTGGAGTTAATTTGCTCCCCACTTGGGGTTTGTAGATATGGGTTTGGATAGTTTCTTCGCTTTTATTGCATAAACTGTCTTTAAGGTAGGCACTAGGACATTGGCTTTAGGCTGGACCCTTTTGAATTGTTTTTCCTTGGAGGAACTTGTAATATACGAAGTATAAATTGGCTGTTAACTTGTTGAACGATGATGTTTGCTATTCGAGCTGTCCATCTGGTTTAAGGATAGGGTTGTATATATCTTGCCATTTACCTGTTTGGTTGATGCCTTGGTGAATTGATTTCTATAGCATTGTGGTTGTGGTATTGCCTTTTGTTTTAAATCGCCTCAGTCTTAGCAGGGGATGTGGCCATTGTTCGTGATGGCCTTTCTAGCTATACGAGTACAAGTTGTCTTTTAATCTGAATCAAAATATGTCGAAAAATGTTGGTGAACCAGTCAATGTAGGCTAACTCACCTGGTTCGATTAGACTTGAAACGGACTGGACGAGGATTATACATCTTGGGTCAAATTGTCATGCTGTTTTTTATGGGGTCAGGCCAATAAAGCGAAAACAATTGCAGCGTTAGGATAACTTTAGGGGTCGTTTGGTTGGATCATTTGGAACGGATTGAAATGGAGTTAGAATTCATTCCATCTAATTTTTTGTTTTGTTGAGGTTTTTAGTAATGGAATTTCATACCCAAGGGGTTCTAACTTCTCCCCATACTCATGCAATCCCATACCCACCCCTCTTAATAAGATTCACAATCCATTCTATTAATGAAGGATAGAATCCATTCCAACGATAAAACCAAACAACATTGGACTAGTATGGGTTTTAGAATCCATACCTCTCTAGTATGAGATTCCATACCAATCTATTCCAACTCGATGAACCAAACACACCCTTAATGGGTTGAGTTGGGTTGCAAGAACTCAGTTAACCAAGATGGTCAAGGATTGCAGATTGTTTCTTTCCTAGTAGAGCTGATATGCAGCGATGAACTGAACCAATCCAGCCTCGCCTGATTCATAAAAGAATTGGCAACTTGTAGAACCATGTTGGTCTAAAGGCGAAAAACAGCTTAAGCCTGAATCAGTTTGCCTTGTGAGTCGTGAGTTCGTGACCACCTTCAGATCTATAAGAAGACTACAATACTTGTTCACATCAAAATTGTCCATACGTCGCTAGTGGCACAGACTAAGCAGGTGTATCTACTGTCTAGGGGTGAGCAAGATCGAGCTTCCGTTTGAAGTTTAGGAGCCCTGTTACAAGTTTAGACCTCGTCGCCCTGGTACAGATTCCCGAACCTTTTGCTCTTCACCAGTCAGTACTACACGTCTAAACAATAGCTTGTTCTGATTGCTGAGTTTGTGATCAAGACATCAAGTAAAACTTTGAGAAACTTAAGTCGTTTGTTCAAGTCTCGGCTATTTTGATCAACCCCATTATCCCAAAAGGGTTACACTTTCTGACACTTCATTAATAAAATTGAATTTTTCTTTAATAGGAAGGCCCATCGAAATAATGAAGAGAAACATCACTTATTGGAGTTATTGGGAAAGCAGCTTTTTTTTAATTTTTTTTTTTTTAAAGGGGGGGTAATAGACTCATCTTACAAGAAAAGGGAAGGTTTTTACAATTAAGGCATTCCCTCCTATAATGATCTTAGTGAGAATGCCCCTAGCCCTCCTATAATGATCTTAGTGAGAATGACCCTAGCCCTATACCTGATAGCGCGTTTGGTTAACTGTTATAAATAGCGCGTTTGGTTAACTGTTATAAATTGTGGTAATGGTTATGAATATGTATATAATCTTGCAATGAAGGTCATTACTATGTCAAGGGAACTCTTACCAGCCAGCATGTGATTTTTTTTTCCCCCCACAATCTTCATTACCACACAATACCACCCCTAAATTGATTATGAAAATTTGGAAGAAAATGAGGTATTTGAGGAGAGATTAGTTTTACACTTTTACCTTATGAATTGACATGAAATCTTTTCTACAGAGTTACTTATAAAGCCATTATCATTATCATCGTTTATTATCAAAGTCGTAGAGCTAGCCGATAGGCCCGCTACACTAACCTCCTACGACGTATTGTAAAAAATGGCTAACCACCAGTGAACCTATTTCCCAGATTATAAACCTAGAAGGCTACAAATGAATGGGTCTACAATTGGATGGGTGCAATTTTTTGTGGACCGCCCGTTTGAGTGGGGCCTGTTTCATCAGACTCTTCGACCCACCATTTACCAAATGGCCCAGTTGTATGGGCTTGATATGACAATTATACTGACACAAACATGAGTATTTCGTTTTACCAAAATAAAGGTAAACTGTAGTCTTTATTGCTCTTATACCTTAGATGGTTTAATTTTAATGATTACGGAGTATTTTTTTTTTTTTTAGGTAGATATTTTAATTATAGAATGTAATATAGAAGAACGGTAAATAATCCTCAAATCATTAACTTTAGATTGGTAGTAAATTTATCCCTTAAGAGAAGAAAAAAAAAAAAAAAACCCCCTTAAGAAGTAGGATTGGTAGTTAAAAGGCCGAATAATTTCATACATATGTCACTTAAATACTTAATAACTTTAGTTATAATTTTAGAAGTTGAGATAAGATTAGAGAGATGTAGATTGTAATGTCATATCTTCCCACCTATCACACACAAGTGTATGTGAAATCATAATGTCTAAAGTTCAAACAAGTGTATCTTAAAATTGTATAGAGTATCTTGCGAAGTCCAATTACACTTGAGGAACACGTAATAATACTCTCTTTATTTTACGTCAATTGCTATTGTTTTTAATTTCAATGTTTCCTATTAATTGCTACCCTTTATATTTGAATTAGACTCTCTATCATTATTAGTTTATTACACTATGCGAAGTATAATTGTTTTACTAATTACTCCGTGTATCACAATTTATATTACTCACTTCATAGCCCCCCATCTTCACCCTATATTCTCCACTCAATGCTCATTCTAGTGTAGCGATTAATAACATAATGCAAGGTGTAAGACTTTTTTCTTTTCACCTCTATAAAGAGGTGTTTTGGTATTAATATTATAAGTTATAGTATGGTCTGTTTTTATATCTAATCTAATCCGTTTTCATGTTATCACTATAATATCGTCTAGTTTTATTTGGTCTAATTCTAACAAAATGAGTAATTGAAGTGGAAGAGAATAGAACCTAATTATTTACAAACTTTGTCCAAAAAGAATAATTAAGAGAATAGAAACATCAAGATAAATTTAACTAAGCTAACTTTTTCCTGATTAAGGTTATAAACCGTAGAATAATTAAGCTAATTTAATTCTTAGCCTTAACACGTAACACCATAAAAAAATTTAAAAAATAAGAAATGAAGCAAGTTGTTAGTGAGAGAAAGAAAGAAGAAAAGAGAATTACGAGGTGTAATTGTTTAAGAGAAAATAAAAATCTTGACTATTTTGGCCCTTAATATATGTCAGGATTGTCAGAGCATATTCTCACTCTCCCATAAAAACATTTCTTCAACCTAATTAAGTTTAGACTAATACTCTAATTAACAACTAATTTAAGGTTTTTACTTGTACTAACTTATTTGTAGTAAGTAGTAATTACTTTAACTATTCTTCTTCATGATACTAGTAGTAGTAATATTTTAACTACTCCACCAGTACATTTTATTTTAACAGTTTTTGAATGGCTCATATTTCAATGTCACTTTGCTGTTAAGAAAAATGCTTCTGTTATGCTAAAATTTAAAAAGTTTAATTTTTATACAAGTACCATTTTCATGTAAATTTGGCACTAACCATTTAGCAGTTAGATGCAGCATCACAGCATCACTAGTATGTTCTTGTTCTTTTGAGCTGTTGTGGTATGCTCGTCTCTGCTCTGCTGAGTATAAATTAGCTGCTCTCTACTCTGCTAAAATCTGCTATGCTTTGTCATGCCATGCTCTGCTTAGCCAAAAATTTGCTATGATCTGCCATGTCATGCTCTGCTCTACTTTGCCAGAAGCTCAAAAGAAACAGGGCCTAAGAGTTGAGTTATAACAACCTATGACACTAGAAATATACTTGGATGTGTAATACTTTGACATACGACTCTACTACATTTTCACCATAAAATGTGTTTGTAACATAATGAAGTGTCTAAATGCTAAATTTAGAAAACAATTCCGGTATAAGAGGTTTGAGTGCAACGACATGGAAGTGATGGAAATATGGAAGTTTCAAGTATGAACTTAAGATACATTACATACATACCTTGGGTGTAAACTAACAAGACTATTGTTTGGTAAATGTTCTTATACATTTTAGATATGTGTAGACACTAACAATTCGGAAGGGTTGTTACAATTTAAAGTTAGAGAGTGCAAAAAAAAAAACTCCACATGTTGAATATTAATACATTTCATGACCATCTTTAAATAGAGGAGAGCATTATGGATAGAAGCAAGAAACCTCCGCCAAACAAAGTGAAGCTACACACTTCCTATGTCTCTTAGTTCCCATTCTGCTCAATTTTCAAAGAGGGGTTCGATTAAATTGTAAATAAAGTAGTTATTTTGATGATTTCCGTATGTTCTCATGCCTTTTTTTCTTTATAGCAAAGGACTAACGACCCTAACTTTCATCATTAGCTAAACAAAAATTAACAGCAATTACATCTTCAATAATTGACGACGTCTTCTACCCCACACTCTACTAGAATACTCTATAATGCTAAGAACTTACGATGAGCTAGAGTGTGAGTCGCTTTATTAGCTTCCCTAAAAGCATGTTTAAAACAAGCTCTAAGAACTTAACTAGCTCATGCTTGAAGATGTTTTTTTCGCAATTACTTTGCAAGTTAATGAAAACAAAAAATAAACACTCTGTAATTACAATGGACAAAGAGTTCACTCCTACACTCCTATTCTATTCATTCAATTAATGTCTCAAAAATCTCTCTTTGTTACAAAATATTTTGTTTTTTTGATGGGATCTCTATGATACTGATAGTCTCATTATAAATCTTCTTGAAGAAGAGGGTAGGAACAGTACATTAAATTTAATACAACTAATTTAAGTAGCAACATTAAATTTTTCATGCCTAGGAACACTTATATTCTCACCATTTTTGAGTATTACATTTATTTTTTTCAAGCAGGAGGTGGGTGACAGTATCATACCCCTATAATTACATGCTAATAAATTATATTCCCTTATTGGGTATTACCCCATATCTTAAAATAAAATAAAATCACATAGATTAC